TTTCTCCTACCCATCTATCCCATTCATAACGAAATATCGCTATATCTGATACACCCACCCATGTGGACTTTCCCCCTAGAAGATCGACATCTTCAACTTCCAAACTCTAACATCTCCACCCCAATTTCCTTTTCCTCAGTCGTTCCCCTCATGTAACAATGGTAAATCTCTCTCCTTCGATCGTAATCATATTCCCTCCCCGTTTCTCTCCTTTCTGCTTCGTGCTCCTCCATACCTTTGCACAATCTCTTCTCCATATTTCAGCCCCACAGCTTCCATCATAAATCTCTAATCTACCACCAATCAGAGACTTGAGAGGGGGTTCGTGATGGTGAATGTTTTCCTTATGTTCCTTACGTTCGATCTCTTTTCTTTTCAATTTAGTTCATGAATCTCCGGTCAACCATTGTGTAGGATTTGCCAATTGAACGACCGACGAGGTGTTGGATTGCATCTCAATAAATTTCATTATCATCTCTCGAATTTCCCCCATGCTCTCGAATGGATCCTCCGTTCGGTTCTCCATGAAAATAAACATATCATCTATGGCGACAAACCTTTCTTTCATCCCCAATCGATTTGGGTGAGATCCCTTCCTCTAATTTCTTATCCAAATCATTTATTTTTTTATGTCATTCTCCCCAAATTTTTTTGATCATCGAAAAATGAAAGTATTTGTACTCTGTTGCAACGAGACAAATGACTGGAAATTTCAGAGTTCCAAAATTGGCACTGCAGAAAATGATGGGGTTCGGTTACTCTATATATTGCGATCCCGACATTGCTTAACAGCTACTAGAATCGCAACTATACGTGAAGACAGTATGAGAGGGGACAAAAGATGGAGTAACGGATCTCTGTACGTCGTGTTGCCTTCCAGGTAAATTTAATCGTGACTGTATCGAGTGAGAAAAAATAGGAGAGTTTCGAATCTCTGTACACTGCTTCCTAGGTCACGTTGATGGCGACTGTATGGCGGTAGAGGCCATGAAAACAGGAGTACCAATGGGTTTCGATTCTCGGTAAGTCGCAATCCCATTGTGTCGGGGCCTTCCCAAATCCCTCGGATCGCGATTGTAAAATCCCATTAGATCCTTCCTAGCTAACGCTGATCGCAACTGTACGCAACATTGTAAGCGGCGATCCCAATTCTCCGACAGGCACAAAAGCGCAATTGTATCGTGGCTTATAAGTTGTAATCCCTATGCTACGATCCGTGGTTGATGAAGACCTGAATGTCAGATCTATCTGTGGTTTCTAGAAATCAATGACTCTCATACCGATTTGATAGGATTTGTTGTCAAAATTGGCACCCATTTTCACATAAATTAGGACACATAATTTTATTGCAATAATTCAAAAAACTCAACAAAAATACAAATAGAAAACATCAACAATTCGAGAGGTAGGTGTTCTCTTCCAATTCCTACAATCCGATGGTAGGAAATCTCTCCCAAACCCTAGACCTAAGAGTCACAACTCAATTTTATGCAAAACCCTAATCGTAGACATAACAAATCTATTTATACCCAACAATAATAATAATAAAAGGCTAAATTACCCTTAGACGTACAAAAGATTAACTTGTCCTTAAGTTTGGCGCCAACATAACAACAACATTAGTGAATCTGTTCTCCACCTCCAAAAAGAAATCATTTGACAATTGTTGTGAAGCCAAACATCCACACTTAAATTAAGTAGAGGGAAATAGCACAATAATGAAAAATTGAGGATTGCATGAAATGTGAAGGTGCAAAATGAGATCCTTAATAGCACCATAGGCACACTTCTGACATTTGGGTCCTCCATATCATGCTTTTGTTTCTAGGCCTATCTAAACGATGTCATTCACATTCATAAACCTAGTGCATATCTTGTGTTATCACTCAATAGAGATCTATCAAGGGCTATAATCACTATATTAATGCTGTAGCATTTGACTTAGCCCTATTTCTCTATATTGCTCTTTGTTTCACTTACTCGCCATCACAAAGGTTGTGTGCCAATCTTTCTTGGCTCAATGTATCCCATGTTTTGGGTATTCTCCTGTTGATTGATTTAATTGGATCTCTACGCATGTATTGAACTTGCTATCTTGAGTCTACCCAATCTGCCAATAACAAAACATAACTCCAACCAGGTTGCTAACCCATAAATAAAAATACATGGCAGTTTGTCTTATATAGGGCTTCTTCACGTGCTTGCTAGTTTAAACTAAGCATACTTGCCCCTAATCGGAGCCATAGTTGGATAATTCCACTCTTGAAAATTTAGCAATATATACATAGAGATTGCATATAGCCAAAATCCACAATTCACACTACACAGAATGAGGCTAGCTTAGGTAGACCTTCGACTGGACCTTTAGTCGATCCAAAGACTAGACAACCCTCAACATCATATGATAACTTAATTAGCACTCATACACCAGCCAAAAAAAATAACATTGCTACAAGTCTTAGACCCACTAAGTCAATATAATCAACATTTAATTAAAACATGGACTATTCATGCAAACTGCAAATAAAATCAAACCAAGGCATATTCATTAAAATCCATAGATTTAATAAAACCTAGGTAAGGCTAAGCAAATCCCTAGAAAATCCAAACTCAGGTATGCCTCTATAGCACCTTGGGTTCACCCTTGTCAGCCCATTAAAACTCGGTCAAGCCTGAGCCTAAATTCAACCTAAAGCTAAACTAGCCTAATATAACCCCATCTATAGATAGCTACCACCACCTCCTTAGAAGCTAGTCTTAGCAAAGGTGCACACCCCATAGCATTATATCATCCTAAAACTTAAATTTGAGAAAACAAAGAAGAGGGAGAGAAAAAATTAAACTATTTCCCACAGCTTTAGGATGAATGAGCAAAAGCTCTAAAGTTCTACTTCCTCAGTCACCAAAAGGGTTGCATTTTGCCTCCATCCGATCTAAATCTTTTAGAGCTTTTAAGTTTGTCGTACAATTCTCAGAAATAGGTTAAGCCTCAATTAGAAAACTACCTTAAGTGTTGTAGAACCTTCTTTTCCCTCTACTCATAGAACTTTAAGATCGCTTGATCAATATTTGTTAAAATTAGAGTGTTGTAGAAAAATAGGCAAAATAAAAAAATAAAATCTAGAAAATAGGTTTTGGAAAGGAATAATTATGTTGATCCATACAATTCACATGTATGGTGTGTGTGTGTGTGTATATATATATATATATATATAGGGAATGATTAATTTACAGACTTATCAAATACATCTAACCTAAATTAGGAAAGGAAATAATTCTGAATAAATAATAAAATACCATAGAATAAGAAGGGATAAACTAATCAAAAGTTTTTTAAGTTGTTCCAATCAAATTTTCTTGGATCTTCTCAGATTTTTCTTCAAATTATTCTTAAAGTTCTACACTCCCCCTTGAATTGGATCGTAGATGTTGTATCGGCTAAACTTGGTATTGAACTCTGAGAAGGTGCTTAAAGGAAGAGCTCTAGTGAACACATTAACTTGTTGGTGTGTGGAGATGTAGTTTAGTTATATAATTAGTCTGTTAACCTTTTCAGAGATAAAATATCTATCAATTTCAATATGTTTGGACTTGTAAAGTGCACAAGATTCTTTGCAATACGGATAGTTGTTTAATTGTCATAGAACTTATGTATAGAACTATTGGAGGTACATTATAGTTCCCTTAACAATTTTTGAATCCATATTATTTCACAGATTCCCAAGGGGAGTGCTTTGTACATAGCTTATGCGATGCTTCTAGAAACAATTGCCCGCTTCTTACTCTCCATGTCACCAGATTTCCCCATATATAGCAGCAGTAACCTGTGTTGGACCTCTTATCAATGAGTTCCCCAACCCAACTAGCATCAGTGTATACTCCCACATCTTTGTTCTTGATTTTGTCAAAAATTAATCCATAACAAGGAATCTTCTTGGGAAACCTCATAATTTTGTACATCATCTTCTTGAGAAACCATAATCAAGGTGATGGTAACAAGTATATGTTAAAACATGTGTGGGGTGAAACGAGAGTAACATGAAAATTTTAACTAATAATTCTACAACTTTAAAAGGTCGTCCACATAGCTTCTAAGATGGATAAGATATTGCTCATAAGCAATGTCATCTTCTACAATAATGAGTTGTAGTTAAGGTCGGATGCACTCAATAAAGAAGGAAAAAATAAAGCATATATAGAAGCACTTAAGCAGTGCCATGATGCCTGCTCATCCGTTGTACTGACTTCCCCGTCATTTAGAAGTAAAAGTCATTTGAGGGACAGTTGTTATGATAACTAAGCATTTGTAATGTTTTGTTCTATATTAATAGTAATATCAACAAAACAGCCTTCATGGAAGTCTCTTCATATGCGGAGAAGCAAAAAACGTTCTAGAAACACAATGACGCACCATAAAAACTACCTAAAATTTACCCACGACCTTTCTTATGGATTGCCCTAACAGCTGATAACAATCAATGTTTATCAGGATACTGAAAGGTATCAAAATACTTTTCAAACAAAAACCTTCATGAGACAAAATTACAGATATAAATTGAAACTAATGCACATCTACATATTTTTTATATAAGCAATAATTTTTTATTGCACCCATCTCTAAATAAATGTAATGTTCATGGCGATCAAATTTGGATCAGGATATCCTTGCCCATTCTTTCCTCTTTATTCAATCACAGTCCATATCAAGGAAGAATACGTAAACCAATGAAACACAAAATGCCAAAATAAATAACATCAGTCATGCTAACTTTCTTAGATGAACCATAAGGATCTCTCATCTATAGACTATCTAAAACTTCACGTATCCTAAGCGGGTAGTACCGAATTATAGCTTATGTCAATCCCATGTAAAAAATCTAAAACTTAGTCCTAATCGACCGCTTCAGCGCAATCATAAGAACTAAACATAGAGCAAGAACAACTGGAAACCTAGAAAAATGAAATTATTTTTACAGTGAAGGAAATGAAGAGAAACTAACCCTGGGATCTTGTCGACCTCGAACTCGACGCCGTCCCGAGCTAGTACGAACATCTCGCCCACGAATGGGACTGGCATCCCGTTGGGGAAGAGCTGGGGGTTCAGAGCCATCTCCTTCTTCCTCTGCAAGTCACGGTGATCGGATCAGGGGTGGAGAAAAAAAAAATGACGATGGTATTTTACATCGGGAAATAAATATTTATTTATTCATATATCTTGAGGTGCTGGAGGTTTCTAGTTTTGAGAGCTATTTCGAATTTTCGATATTAAAAAACTTTTATATATATATTGTGTGTGTGTGTGTGTGTGTGTGTGTGTGGCCAAATTTTTAAAATTTGCATATTTATTAGTGAAATACGGCAGAGGAACTCATCCAAAAAAAATTTAAAAATGAGAATATTGAAATTTTGCATACATAAGACGTACCAGCGTTGTGTACATAATGGAGGTTATATTCGTGTTATATCTGCATTATATTCATGTTATATCATGTAACCTCTATGTAACTTTCATAAACCTGCATGTAATCTACAGATATGTGAAAACAGAAGCGCGAAACTTATTTGTAAGTTCAGGTAGGTTATATCGTTATTGATGGATGCTAGAAAATTTGCGGCATTATAGTAATGGATTATCGTCTTAGCGTTGCACGAGGATTCGACACACACTTAAGCTGTGATGATATTTAGAAGTTTTTACGTGGAAAACCTGTAAAGGGGAAAAACCACGGGGTCTGACCCAGTTGTAAAAATTCACTATAAGTTGATGATTACAGATTTACCTTGTCCTACAGGCGGGAAAGGGTTACTAGCTTTCTAAGATACAACGTCGACTGACGACGTCTAGTCAGCGATGGTCGACGGAGGTCAGCGGTGATTGACGGTAGTCGACGACAATCGATGACGGTCAGCAGTGGTCGACAGAGGTCAGCGGTGGCTGACGAAAGTCGATAACGGTTGACAGAGGTTGGCGGCGGTGGTCGGCGGTCAGTGGTGGTCGACGGCGATAGACGATGGCAAGGATGATCTTGGAATTGAGCTCCTTCTCAAAGCCTCAAGTTCTCTCTTAAGCCTCCTCCTCTTTTCATGTGAGGGGTGAGACTCTATTTATAGTGTTTTAAGTGCAATTAATGAAGGAATATAAACTATTTTGATCGGACGGTCCGGTTAATTTATCTTGATTAGATAATGTTTGATTGACATTTGAGTGCCTTAACGATGTCAAAATTGAGCAATCTTGGGCTCGTTGGAATCGTCTCATCGAGACGCTCGATTCGACCATAAACTCGCTAGATTCGACATTTAATTGACATTTCAAATGCCTCCAGAACTTCTCTAAGAGTGGTTTAATGATTTGATTCGGGTTTGATTTGACTTGGATTGGACTGAATTTTATATCATTAGGTCCGTCTCATCGAGCCGATCAGTTTCATCGAGCCGGTCAATTTGACTATAAGTTTACAAAAATCAGAGCTCTGGATGACTCTTAATTGAAGTTTAAAGTTTTTAGATTAATTACAACCAAATGAGGCAACTCACAATATAATTTGTGCTGGCTGATGAAAATCTGTTGGCGAAAGCGAGTTTATTTTTTTATTGTTTTTTTTTGTCCGAAAATATTAAGATTCATAAACTTTTTTATTTTTGTAGGGCATAAAAAATTTAGATATATATTATTTATTGCTATCAGTATGTAAATAAGAATAACATTTATTTATAATATTCTAGTAAGTGAAGCCTAGTTCAGTTGGTGAGTACATTTTGTCATTTGCAAGTGGTGAGGGTTTGAATCCCGCCTTAAACTAAGAAAAAAAAAAAATTTACGAGGGTCTGTAAGCCGGGCCGAGACCCAAAAGTCTGAAAACTAGACCCATGGGCCACAACGGGGCAGGAGGCTTGAGACCCGGCGGGAGCTGAAGCGGGCCCTGAATCCGGCCCAAACTGACGGGAGCTAAAGCGGGTCGAATCTGAAGGAGCTGTGGGAGGTGAAGGGTTGTCATTGGGCCAAATGCAATGCTGCGGGAGCTGAAGCATTAAAAAATGAATCGTGGACCAGCTGAAGCACCAAATATCAGTTAAATAAAAATGAATATTTAAATATATATATATTTTTTAAATCACAAAATGTGAATAGTTTTTTATTAATTTACTTTTTAATTATCTGTTGTTTTAATTTTAATTAATTTCAGTCATAAAGATAGAATTTGAAAGACAAAAAGAATGAAGAAATATGAAATGAATTTTTTTTTAATTATTATTTTTTTATAATGTGGATTTAATAATTAAATTTCTTTTGGAGCCTATAGATAAAGACATTGGATGAGGGGAAAAATCACAATTGAGGAGAAGAAGAAAGTTATTCAGCGTTGCGGAGAATAGTTGTGGTGAAGCAAAGAGTTGTGGTGAAACAAAGAGTTGCGGTGAGACGGAGAATTGCAAAGAAAAGTTACGGAGAATAGTTGCGGCGAGTAGAGCGTTGCAGAGCAGAATTGCGGCAAAGAGTCAGCAATGTGTTGCGGTAGAGAATTGCGGCAAAGGGTTGCGGTACAGAATTGCAGCGAAGAGTTGCGGCAAACTGTTGCAGCGAAACGTTGCGGTGAAGAGTTGTGGCAAAGAGTTGCAGCGATGCATCGCGGCAAGGCGTCGGGGCGACGTGATGTGTTGTAGCAGTGCATCTCGACGATGCGTTGCGACGGGACAACAGATGGTGGCGAAGCATCGCGGATTGTGTACTCGATATTGAGGAGTGGTAAAAATGGTTCACCGAAGAAGGATTCATGGGTTTTTTTTTCTTTTTTTTTAATGTCATAGTGGATATCTAATGTCATTTAGAAATTCTAGTACGTAATAAGGTTATCATGTTGATAAATTGTCAGCGACCTTTAACTTTTCCAAGGCTATGTATCAAAGTGTTACTCGAAGATGTTAACCTACATAAGATGAGCCAATGAAAGTCCACCTAGGACTGATTAACCCATCCGAGGTTGTTTGTCGGAGCATTGCTTACTTACGAACTTGTGTGAAATGGGTCAGGTGTAGCCCACCAAGGACTGTTAACCTATCAAGGATTGTTTATCGGAGTAAAAACTCGACGATGTTAACCCATATGGAAGATGTTAGATCAAATCCCCATAGGATTGATCGTGCTCTGACTGAGATACAACCGAATTTGTGTATTTCTTGGGTCGAGAGCATGAAGTGACTCGAGCATGAGCCATTATACTTTCTAAAGGTAACCTTCATGTATAGAAAAGTAAGTGAATAATATTTAAGATACATTGATTATGCATGAGTTGCGATGTAATAACATATGTGGACTGCACAACTGGGGTGTTACTGGTAGTACTTGCGAAGATTTTTTGCATTCCAAGTCTGAGGCAAGATTTTCCCATCTGAACTTGAGCTTGAAGGTTCCAGACTTGATCATGACAACCACAATATATAGACATTCCCAGAGAGATGATAGTTTGTTGTGTTGGGGACCATGACCAGCAGCTTCAATACTACGCAAGGTCAGGTCTCCGTCGAAGATAGGTCGAAGCTTGACTCTCTGGTTGAAGTAGTGAGCAACTCTTTGGCGGTGGGAATCAGCTCTAAGATGGGCCACATCGCGTGTTTCTGGGAGGAGGTTCAAATGTTGTCGGAGCTTTTCCTCGTTGCTATCTGAGTCAAAAGTCTTAACTCTTGTGTTTGAAACTTCGATATCAACTGGGATAACAGTCTCAATGTCAAAACACAAGTTATATGGAGTTTCCCCGATTGGAGTACGCACGATTGTGTGATAGGCCCAAAGGACGTTGTGTAGCTCTTCTACCCACTACTAAGCACCACCAGATTTGTCACCTCTGTCTGCCCATTTGTTTTGGGATGTGCCACGACAGTGTGCACCAACTGAATGTGAAGACTATTCCAGTGAATTGAGTCCCATTATCAGTGATAATCTTCGCAGGAAGCCCAAAGCGACATATGATGTTCACAAAGCGACATATGATGTTTTTTCAGACAAACTGTTTTGCATTTGCCTCAGTGATTTTGGCAAGAGGTTTTGCTTCTACCCATTTGGTGAAGTAATCGACAGCTATGATGATGAATTTTCATTGTCCAGTAGCCACCAGAAATGACCCCATGATATTTACCCCCCATTAGGCGAAAGAGCAAGGACTTATAAAAGATGTGAGTTCCACTGGCGGTGCATGTGTAAGATTGGAGTGTAGTTGGAAATTCTTGTATTTTTACACAAACTCTAATGCATCTTGCTTGATTGTGGGCTAGTGGAAGCATTGCCTCATTATTTTAAGAGCAAGTGTCCTGCCACCAATATGCTCCCAACTATGCTCCCAACATATTACAGAATTATTACAGAATGAACTTCTCGTATAGCGTAATCAACTTCAAATAGAGAAAGACACTTGAGATATGGACCTACAAATGCCTTCTTGTACAGTTCATCCCCTATAAGGGTGAAGTTGGCAGCTATACGTCAGATGTGAATTGATGTAGTAGAATCATCTGGCAGTGTTCCCTCGGAGGAAGGAGATGATGGGATCCATCCAAGATGGCTCCCTTGGGTCATCTATAGACAGTATCTCCCATGGGCCATGGATGCTAGGAAAATGTATCTCCTCAATATACCTTCTTTTATAGAGATCTCCAGTTGTTGAAGTTGTAAGCTCGGAGAGGGCATCGGCTCGGGTGTTATGCTCTCGAAGTATATGAATGAGCTGACATGTTTCAATTTGGGCGAGAAGTGTTTTTACAAGATTGAGATATTGCACCAATTGTGCACCATGAGTGTCAAATTCTTCTTCTACTTGGGATGCAATGAGTTGAGAATCAGTGTAGATAATCATATTTCATACTTCACAATTAATGACAAGCTTTAATCCGACGACAAGTGCTTCAAATTCAACAACATCATTGGTGGTTGGGAATTTCAAACGAAGTTCGTACTCTAAAATGTCTTGCTTTGGGGAGATGAGTATTATTAATTCACCAACTGATGAGTTTCTAGATGCTCCATTTACATATAGTATCCACTGAGGTGACCGTGGAAGAGAAGAAGGTTGTTCATCAGAGGTAGGCATTGTACACTCTACCACAAAGTCGGCCAATACATGTGATTTAATGTTTGTTCGTGGTAAATAGTGGATGTCAAATTCTTTCAATTCTACTAACCATTTA